ATACATATTTCAAGGGCGAAAAAAGTTCTGTTGAAATAGCCTTCGACCAATTCTTTATTTCGATTTACGCATGTCTCTTAATACTTATCAAAGCCAAACCGATAACGCTATAAATTGTCTTGAAAAAGACAGATGTATACTAACGAAAGAAAATAATAATTACGAACAAAAAGCAGCCAAAGAACAATGTAAACAGATCTCAAAGCAGACACAAATGACAGATGATTGCCTCTTATTCAAGCGCGCGAACGCATAGTGTTAACAACAACCTAAATCAAAATTAATATCCGTAAAAATAACGGAAGTTCTAATGTTTCGTGTAGTTGCAATGTTTGATGCTGTACAATTCAAATCATCCTGGTTACTCGCTGGATATAATATTGTTCATTTTCAGAGGCGGAACGTGATTTTTCGGGAAGCAAATTCTTTGAGGCTTCCTGAAATACTTTATCCAGAATAAAAACATCTTCATCACTTTCTGCCATTTTCGCACCAAATATAATTAATCAAAGTTTCACAGAAAAGTGATAATTTTTTCTGTTGACAATTGCTTATTATAAACACGCGTTACATTTTAGCTGAAATTATTATGAACTTAATTTAAGACTAGTTTTAACGTGTCGGTATGGAAAAAAATAGTCTATGCAAATCAGGATTAAATGGTTTTTTCTTCTGTCAGGGATATTAAAGCCCTCAGCTTTAAACATCCCCTCAGCAATAAAAAACCTTTTTAATTCCTTGTTAATTAATACACTATATTTAAATACTTAGAAGGTTGATCCTAGTTGGCACTCTTTCGAAAATGAACAAATGAATTCTAAATAGTATAGTCTACCAACGAAAATAGTGATTTTAGGACTTTGACTTTTCCAACCCCGGGATTCAAAACAGTAATTGATATATTGGCAGTTATTTAAAGATGTCCTGAATCTGTCAGATGGTGAGTTGATGGTTGTATGTTACATAAACATAGAATACGCACTTTTTTCAAAATATACATGCAATATTCATTTCGCATTAAATCCGCTTTCAAGTTTTAAATAAGCCAGTGTATTTGAAAACCTCACTACGCTGCGAACCGTATTGCCACTTTTCCTAGATCTCGACAACCAAAATATTTCTATTCATGAGTGGCCTCTGCCCAATATTCTTTTGTTAAATCAGGTACGCCCGAGCGAATTCAGTTTTTGCCCGTGGCAACTTTCCTCGCTCCGGCTCGAATTTTATAACGGTGGATTAAAGATGTAATCTCAATTACAAGCCACACATCCTGGTCCCTAAGACTCGTATGCATTATGAAGGGTAATCCGGTGACCGGAGGTAGCTCGGCCGGAATGGAAGTAGAGCAGGAAGATCGTTTGTTTGGAAGGATTAAGGTCGGATATGCAGACTGGACACAATATTCATAAACGAGCCCAACACGGGGTCATCATCCCGATATCGTGCTGCTTTATTAGCGCGATTAGCCCATCTGTATTCATGCCTTCTTCGCCGTTTTGCTCATTGCTGACGACAATACAGGCGCTTTGAGGATACACCTCTGTTTGACCACAATGCGACACAAAAGAGTGTAAATAGGTGGACGAATCTCGACTTCAAACGCTGGGAATAATTGGATGTAGTTTTCGTGAAATACAAAGTAAATGAGTGAAATCTCCAAGTTTCACCTGAACGTGAGCCGGTCTCTGAGGATTTTGTTTCATGTAACGAGAAACAGTTAAAAAGGGATTTTAAGTTTGCTTTTGTGCTGAGTGCGAGCTCGATATCAAAGTTTGTCATAATTTACAACGTTTCGGCTCTTACCGGATTTTAAAAGCAGAGGAATTATTTCTTCCCGGAAAGGGGTTTTTAAACTTTTTGTTTCCATATTTTTAGTTTTTCCGTTTGGTTTGCTTAATAATGGGTGGAAGGTTTTATTACTTTTCACGGCCAACGTATTATTATTAAGTAGTGATAAAATAATACTTAATTACACTTAGTCATAAACATATTTTGTACTACTCACTTACGCAAATTAATTAGATACTGCCATGTTTATACAGGGTTTCTATAAATGATTATAGGGTCGCAGTAGGTCATGTAAACGTACCGCCTCTCCAATTTAATTTTACGGAGATCCGTACTAAATGCCGAAGGACGCATGACAAAAAACACACATGGACCACACACATGTGTATAACTGGTTGCCTAAACGGTTCACGTTTTTAAAAAATAAAACTAAGTCATTACGATAAAAAGAAACAAATTTATTGCAGTTAAACATCACAGTAAATGTTGAAATTGTTCAGAATTCTGTTCAAGGCATATGTTCACTCTCTTTTTAATTTCAAAAATGTTCTGGAGCATCCTTTCGTCAATACTTTGGACCCGTTGTTCAATTGTTCAATTCTGCTCAAGTCGTCTCAAATCATCAACAATTTCCTCAGATGACGTCTTCCACGAGATTTATTTTTGTTGACACTGCCAGTTCGAACAAATCTGTTGATTACATCTCTAATGTGAGCCTCTAACGATATTTCTTGAATTATTAAATCACCCTATTTGGCCAGATCTTCTTGCTTACAAGCTGTTACAGATACACCCACTCTTCGTTTACGAAATCCTATTGCGATAACAAAACATAACGATGAAAGTGTCTTGTTCAACGGGATAAACCATTTTCATAGTCTTCGCTTCATAGCACAAACACAAAATTTTCGTACGCAACCACCAAGAGTTCTGAAAATGATTGTTTTGTTGTTTTGAGCTTCGATCAACGAGAATTACTGTAAATCGCACTTGAAAAATATTAAAATAATAAAAACAACGATTTTAATGACAGGTTACAAATGACATTACTGTGACAAGTGAGAACTGTCATAATGATGCATAATCACGGGCATTATTTCAGCGAGGCGGGATTTTTGAAATCCATGGCCAACTACGCCCTTAGAATCATTTATAAAAGCTCTGTATTTAAATATTGAAAATAAATATATGGTAGATTTTTGTCTTTCAAACGATGATCCAAAGAAACTAAAAATAAATTAATAATGAACATCAATTTTGAAATGAAATAAGTAGTTTTATTGTTAACAATAATTTATTAATTTATGTTAAAATATATTCTAAAGTTTCCCAGTCCTAGCGGTCCTAAATGAACGTGCTCACATGACAAATGTATATTAATATTAACTCACCACCTATGCGGAAATGACCGACATTCAGGCAAAACCTGTATGCTTAGCGTACTGAGACCAAGTAGTGACATGTATTGATAGGGTTGTTGACAGAAGGAAACGACGCCCGAGATTGTGAAATAACAGCATACAGATTCATCTGCTATTATCCTCTAATCTCACTCCACCCCCATGAGTCTTGCGTTACTGCTGATCATTTATCCCTGCATAGCCTAACAAGTAACCTACTTTACTCTGATTGAGCCTGTATTGTGTTAACCTATCATAATCAACATGATAAAACTATTTGATCTGCACAGTAAATAACTGTGTGAAGGTTTTCCAGAGAGATATGGGAAATATTTTTGAATTTGTCTTCTATTTCGTTCTAAAATATGCATAGCTGGGACGTTGTTTTGACAGAAAATATTTAATAAATGAGCTAAAATATTGTTGTTCGAAAGACAAATATTTATGCCATTTTTAAATTCCTCCAGTTTGAGAATTATAAATTGGATTTTATCCACACTACGAAAAATGTGAGCTAAAGCGCATGCGTGAATTATGTTTATATTTACTTCAACTTATCTTGTACTGGAACTTATAAATAAAAATAATTAACACTTAATGCAGTTTCATCATCTTCCCATCTTCCCACTCCAACTAACTTATATTGAATTATAGCATCGCTCAAGGGAGCGACTCCAAACGTCCTTGGCATCATGACACTCGCCAAGGATGTAACGAGGGAGCGGATTGCAGCGCAACCACAGTGATCGAGATCCTTACCCTTTTTATGTAACCCAGCCACAAGAGCCAGGGATTATAGGAAAAGGGAGGGAACCGTCAATCTCATGAGACGTCTGAACAGACGGAAAACCAAACCGGGTATCCCACTAAACAGACTGATGACTTAATCTATCTCTTCGACCCTTCCGAGCAGCTGAACCTACACCAGGACTCGACAAGACGGAACGTGTAGAGTCTGACATCTGACTGGTCATCTCCAGTGTGGCGGATGGTTCAAAATACAGGTACCTGGACAGAAGAAAATAAAGTTGACTAGAGCTACAACAAGTACCATTATATCATTTTATTTAGGTTCGTACCACATTCCATTTTCTGTAGATTCACGATAGTTTTCATTCTTTCGGTAGTACCACGCGAATTCCGTAGTATTCTTCCTTCTGGAGCCAAGAAATCTGCTCTTGTCTTCTGGCAGAGATTTCTTTCCTCTTGATCATTTTTAAAATTTAATCGTATATTAAATTCTTTAACAGCTTCAATAAAGTTTGGATTTTGTTTTATTTATGTCGATGACAACTCAGAATGAAACAGTATATAATAAACTGTTGAAGAAAGAATTCTCCCTCAAAAATTATGATATTGATATTAAGATTGTATTCCAGTTTCCAAGAGCGTCGAAAAAAAGTAGAAATTTTAATTGTAGTTTACTACTTTTGGTCACCATCCCAATTCAAAAATTGCTTACCTAATTTTCAAGATCATAATCTTGAATATTATTCTAGTAAGGTTTTTCTTAATTAACAGCTTAACAACGTAAAAAGACTACAAAATATGGGGATAATTTAATTTCCAACTACAATAAAATCCCTCGTTCAAAATTCGTGCCGAAGATTTTTATAAGTACCTACGACACAAATTCGAAATAAATCAAATAGAGACCAATATCCTGGCAGTGTTTACCGAAGCATCTGTTTTTCTGACGTACGTTAACGATGCAACCGACCACAATTCCACAGCACTGTTTTTGCGTTCGCCACAATTTGTACAATAAACAACAATTATCTCATTCTCTAATTTAGAATAGAATTCGTCGCAAACTAAACAGTGTCCTTATTGCTGCAATCAGTGATTGGTCTCCCGAACACAAATAATCAACTTTTTGTGTTTTCGTGCTTTCAGTTATTGTCGAAGGGGGAAGACCGTAAAGTTTTGGTAAGTATGCTAATTTATTGCCAGAGGTTTCATGTAAATCTGGTGAACTTTAATTTGAAAATAGTTCCTGCTTGTTAGTCAGAACATGTATTCAAGTAGATTCAATAAAAATTTTACGGCGTAGTAAAATAATGACGTCATAAAAAAATAATAAAAAGTGTAACCAGCTGCTTAACGAGATTCACTTTCTTTTTAAAGGAGCGTGGCGCATTAGTTCTGATTTGTACTCGTTTTGAGGTTTTTATTTGTTTTACTACGCGAATGAGTTCACGAAGAACGAAGTTTAACAGAGTAAGCGCGGATGTTTTTAATGCATGATCAAATATGGTATTAATTTGGTCTCGATAAATTAAACCACTCGCTAGTTTATGTGGCATAACCGAAACTTGGAAGCTTCTGGGACAGAGCAACAAGTCTTTCGAAAATCTACGAGTATCTTAACTATGAGTCAGAAGCCTAACGTTGTTTTTTTAACAAATTTACTACAATAATAAAATGTCTAAAATTCTTATATTTATATAGGTACATAAAAAATAACGAATAGAAGTGATAATTTAATAAATATCATTGTTAAGAGAAATCTTTAACGAAGACAATATGTTATCAATGTTAGCTGTAATTCTCTTCTCTTCTTGGGCCATTTTCAACTAAAAGAAATAAACACAATGAAAAAGTGTCTTTCTACTAACGTAAAATTTGTTTATGCAAGGCTTTTATAAATGACTAGCTGACCCGGCGAACTTCGTACCACCTTAAAACAATAATTGCGACTTCATCTATGGTATGAGCGTTGAATTGTCGTTCGTGTGTTCCACCGGGTCGTTTATCTGCTCTTATCACGACTTTATAGTCATAACTTGGCATACGATCCAACGCAGTTTTGAACAACCGAATCAATGCATGATGTTTTTGAAGTATTTGCTGCAAATCTAGAATAATTTCTTTTTTTATTGCGTTATTGATCGTTTGACGCCGATCAAGTTGGTCCTACATATTGCCCATGAAGTAAATTTGTAAGAATTTATGCTGTGAGTCTTCAACCGGTTAGAATGATCCAATTCTATGGTGAATTTGTCCTTGGATTTGTAAAGTCGAAACCGAAGTGGTCACTAATGATGTGATCTATGATCACAAAAAATGGAGATTATTCTCTTATTAACAAAAATTATCTTAAATGTCGAATCAAATCCGCGTTCTTCGATAATATTTGCTCCAAATGAAGTCATCAGGAAACATATAAATAAATAAATAAATAAATCCTTTATTGTCCAACAGGATAACCTAATAACAGGACAACAATAATAATTAAGAATATTAAAAACAGAAAGCTTAATTTCAATAAGAAAAACTACAATAACTACATAAATAGAAAAAAAAAAAAATATATATATATATATATATATAACCATAGCAAGGCAGAAGAAAAATACAGTTAACGATGGCTCATAAAGATGTCTTCCACTATAAGTTTATTAAAACAATTACACATAGTTCTTGATGGAGAGTGGTGGAAAACGTTGACATGTCTTGACGACAATCTTGGCACATTAAACCCGATGGTTGATAAAATGTAGGAACAATCAACTTTTTTGGAAATTAATTTCACCAAGAAATTGGCACAGTTAACGTCCCTCCTTGCAGAAAGAGACGTCATGTTGTGTCGGACTAGCAGACTGTCCATAGGGTAAATTCCGTCGAGTTTATAAGACAGATATTTTAAAAATTTTCGGTGAATCTTGTCTAGGACCATATATTTCATCGTGTAAAGTGGGTACCATATTAAGGAAGCGTATTCCATTTTACTGAGCACATATGAGAAAAAAAGAGATTTAATGGCATCAATACTGTTAAAATATTTGGAGATCCTCATAATAAATCCCAGTATTTCTTGGAAGTGGAGATTAAACGTCAGCTTAGAATCAAAAACAACTCCTAAGTCTTTAATGCTGTTTTTCCTCATTAGCGGTGTTGAACCAATGGAATAGGACGAATCAATCTGATTATTATTACGTGAAAAGGAGATAAGATAACATTTAGGTATGTTTAAGATGAGATTGTTAGAATAGCTCCAATTCATTAAAGTATCTAAATTGGTTTGTAAACTATGAATATCTCCAGCAGATGTTATGGTTGAATATAACTTAATATCATCCGCAAAACCAAGACAGGAGCATGTGATGGATTCTAGCAAGTCATTTATATAAATATTGAATAGTAGCGGTCCTAAGTTTGACCCCTGCGGAACTCCAGATCTTGAGACAAATTCGTAAGAACAATAACCATTGTAGAATACATAGTTGATTCTATTCGACAAATATGATGTAAACAGTTGCAGGAGAGGGTCTAAGAATCCAAATTGGCTAAGTTTATGAAGCAGAAGGTCATGTGAGATCGAATCAGACGCTTTAGAAAAGGCATCGCATATTACGTCTACCTGTGTTTTGTTATCTAGGGCTACCGATAAGTCGTGAGTAATGACTGATAGATTCGTGATAGTAGATCTGCCATTTATAAACCCATGTTGCTTAGGAGAAAAATAAGATTTCACATTACCATAAATAGATTTATATAATACTTGTTCCATGACCTTAGAAAAGTTTGATAGAATGGAGATCGGTCGATAGTTCTGCAGGTTATTGGGATCTCCTTTTTTAAAGATTGGTGTTACTCGAGCTCTCTTCCATTGGTCAGGAAACATTCATAATTTTAAGGATAAATTGATTATTACAGTTAGGGGTTCAGCAAATACAGATTTGCAGTCATGCACTAGAAGATTTGGTATTAGGTCATTACCGGCTGTTAACCTGGGTGGAAACTTAGACATGATCACAATGAGTTCTTCCTGAGTTACAGGCTTTACAGTAAAGGAATTAGTACAGCATAGTAAACTAGCCCGCAAATGTAGACACACTAGGCAAAAGCATGTTTTCAAAATTTTTTGCGGATCGGAATATTCATTATTATCGTTATCTGTTAAACGAGTAGGGATTCTAGATGTATTTTTCTTGTGGCGTAAAAAACTCCATAATTCGGAAGGACTGGACTTAAGATTTTCTTCAATATCACAATATAATTTTTATATGCACTGGATATTTGCAATTTGGTTAGGGGTCTTAACCTTTTAAATTCAATGAGATAAACAATATTTCTTGATTTCACCCATTTTTGCCTATAATAATTTTTTAATCCAATATTACGCTTATTATCAGACGAAAACCACGGTGGAAATTTAGAAGAACGAGGTGTTATTTTTGGAACATTTGAATCAAGTACTTCGTATAAACATTTGTAAAAGCAATCGAGAGCCAGATTGATATCGTTAAAATGTTTCAAGAACGTCCAGTCAAGACTAAATAGTGTATTATATAGACTTGGAAAATTAGCACGTCGAAAATCATATCTTCGCTTTTTTGATATTGGAGAACGGGAAGCTAAATTGGGAACTGAGATGAATTCTAAGTTTAAGAGAAGCGGAGGATGATGTTTATCTTCACAGACCAGTCCAGGGGTAACACATTCAATTAAAACGTTAATGTCAAAATTGACAAAAACAAGATCTAAAAGGTTTCCACTACTGTTAAATACATTATTCATTTGGTTAAGTTCAGTAGAAAGGCAGAATTGTTAGAGACATGAAGACTTAGAGCAACTGATAGTTGTAGTAGAAAATGAATGATTAAATCCTGGTACATTAAAATCACCGAGCAACATGATCTTTTTATTCAGTGTTAGAATCTCTAGAGCATTGAGGAATAATTCAAGGTCGGTAGAGTTAATATTTGGAGGAATGTATACTACCGGAAGACGAAAATCAACTGTATTTATATTAACATCACACATGGCTATATCAATTAGAGGTAATCAATCTGTAACACCCTTAGTGTCAACTACTTTGAATTGGCAAGAATCAGAAAAAGCAATTAAAACTCTACCTCCTGTGCTTTTATCAACTAGGGAAAATTTTCTGTCGCAACGGACAATACTATAATTTGCAAATTTTATTTTTTTTATGAGAGCCTCTATAAGTTGAAATAAACAAATGTATGTAATGTCAACGAAAAAGATTAAATGCTAAAAGAAAAAATATTCAAACTTACCGAATTTACAATTTATTTACTTGTTGACATTACCATCATTTGAAATTTCCATTTGTTTGTTTCCATTTTGGCTTTTCTCGCTTTTCTCCTTTTTATTTTCATGGTATTTTAACTTTTTTATAGCGCAATGGCTTTTTTCTATGTGCAGCTTATGTTTGCCCTATATTCCTGCTGATATTTTCGGTTGGTTGATTTTAGGTATTCTGAGTCTCTTTACTTTTTGTCGGTGTTTTCTTGCTCTTTCAGTGGATATTAAAGACATTTTGATTAACACAGCAAAATCAAATTATTGGTAGATTGACGGCTGTTAAGACTAATTATTTAGTTTCAAAGCTAAGCCACCGAAAGAAAATTATCCCGTTTCGCGTAAGTAACGATGCGATTTTTAATAATAATCACAAAGCAATTTCAATAAAAGTACAATAAACATAGAGAGCGAGAACGAGAAAAAGAGATAATGTAACCTGATTTGCAATGAGTATTTTTAATATTTCCGAATAACATGAAAATTAGTCCCTTATCGTTACTTACACCAATTATCACATATATCAGAAGAAAGAAGTGTAATATTTTTTTAAAGATGATGTTGGGATAAGTATTGATTGTGCATTATTGTCAATAAAGGTGCACTCTTTACGACCGTGCTTTATATTGTAAGTAAATCAAGATATTTACTTTGTTTCTAGCAATGTTAAAGAAGATATAATATCTATCATTTCTCTGAACAATTTTATTATTCCTCAATAAGAAGAAATTTTTACTGCGGGTGTTATGGTATTGTAAAAGCAAATATATGCCAGTAAAATTTAAAGTTTTTAGAAGTACTAATTGTAAAATTTAGATTAATTTAACAATTTTCAAAAAAATGTGCTGAGGTTGACATTTTCGTGGAATTGCCCATAT